TCATTGGTTTAAAACATTTTTCACTTGCAATTTTCTTGTGCTATATTCCTTATGAAGTTCGAGGGAATTTTTTTTTCATCAGTGGTTGGAGAATTTTCAAATTTTGGACGCCACCATTCGGAAATGAAATGCAAAATTTCAAAATTATGAAAACTTTTGCAAAGAGGATGAAAACTTTGTGGTATGTTAATAAAGGAAAGAAGTTTATTTATTCTTAACTAATATATATTGTACATTGTATTTGTTATAATATTATGGACTCGCAGGGCTTAATAAAATTGTAGTTGTGGGTAAAAAGTAGGGTATGATGAAATGGAAATTAATAATAATATGATACTGGACAAAAAATACCCGAAGTTTTTTAATCGGAATTAAGAACAAATTTCTTTTTACTTGAAATCATCTCATAAATAAATTCTACTCATAAATAAATATAATTCTTAAGCTTCGCGGTTTTATATTTAAAAAGCTAGCCCTAATTACCATAACAGCTCTCTGTGATATAGTGTTGCAGAAAAAGACACATATGATGACAATATATGACATTAAATTTACTCTTCCGACTTTTAGGTTCGATTAATGTGGCTTTGCTGAGTTCAAATCAACAACCTATTTTGTTTCTACACAACTGGGTCTTTGGCAATAACAGTTTAAAGTTTGCGTATTCATATTCTAAAGGGCAAGTCAAAATTTTTTGTCAAGAAACTATTTAAAAGCTTAAAATAAATTAACTAAAATTTTTTGTTGTTGTCTTTTCATTTCTATTCGAACCCATCTAAAAAATTTTTATTTTTAAGTATATACATTTTGATTTTTACAGGCCATTGGGCCATAGTACTGCATGGACCTAAGCTCGGCTTACTTTGTAGTATCTCCTGCAAACACGTGTCTACCGGCACTTGAAGAAAGGACACCAAAACACTTATTGTGTTTTTATCCAGGTTTCTTCAGAATCAGACGAAAGTTTTTGGAGACTCCCTTTTTTAATACACTCAGCAATATTTTCAGCGTCAGCATTGGCTGGACATTCGGTTTTTAAATGCTCCTGACTAGTTCTAACTCTAGCCTTCTTCTACCCATTATTACGAGTAATTGTGGACTTAAAACGGCTGTCTTAGCTAATTAAGGAGAATTCATTACTCTTTATCCTTTACCTAACCTTTACTTTTACCTAATTTTCAATAAACTTTTTACGAATACATGGATAAGCATTTTTACCTGAGGCATGCATTACCGTATACTTCTTCTTTCTTGTCAAAAGGTGAAAGTTTTCAAATACGTTAGTTTCTATTACTTCCATCATAACTGACGTTAAGTTACAATTTATATTAATATAAATATTAAACTCTTCTTAACTTGAATTTTTTCAGCCCTCTATTGTCGGACACCAAGATATCTAGGAGAAGAGAGGATTACAATTTTGAGATATTTTGAGATACTTAAAATAGCTCTATAATGATGTGTGTGTAACACTTAAAAGTAATATTAAATTAATAAAAATGGTCTTTGTTATCTTTATATCATTTACCTTTGGTTAATTTAATCCTCTTCCCGGTGCGAACTTTGTGTTTTAATCTGTAAAAAATATAAAATACGAATATTAATTATATTCAATAAGGATTTAAGTTTTAAACTAATAAATAGTTTTATGTAATTAATATAAAACTTTAAGATAATAACAAAAGATTTTACAATATAAATCATATATTGACTTAACAACTGTTTTAGTTAAGACTGAACTGCTTTCAGTAAGAGCCATCTTATGTAGAGTGTCTCGGGCACTGCAAAATTGGCTCTTTCGGACTAAGATGAAAATGCATGTTATGTAGACTGTCACATCAGCATTTCCAATTTCGTCGAAATACAAATCGAAATGTAAATAAGCTCACTTTCAATTTAACATAAAAAATAACCATCAAGAAAGATCTCATAGAGGCGGTGGTCGCTGAGAGTAGCAACTTGTTTGATATAAATATCAATGGGTAACAAGTTAAGTATGACATTAAGCTCACAGGTGGCGCATAATCTTAGAGCCCCCGTTGCGCCCACACAAGCAGAGCTTTGCAGTCTGGTTAACCTTTGGCTGTAATATATGTTAATTTATTATTATATTATCTTATAATAATAGTTATCAGTACTTAGAAAATAATACGCTTTTCCTTTAAATCGGAAAGTGTGATAATCAGATTATTAGCGGTTTATTGAATAGGCCATTTTTTCTACAAAACGCCGGTTCTCATACCGAAATTTGAACCGACATATTGTTTTTTCTCTTAATGTATCAGTTTTATAATTTGCACTGAAAACAACAATAGTTTTACTCGTACCGTGCTCGAGACAGACTTACTAAGATTGCTTGAGATAATTATAAAATTGGTTCAGATTTTATACAAATTTTTAGCAAAATAAACTTGAGATATTTTGTTATTATTTCGGTTCTATACCAATATCTAAAATAGGTGTATGTTATACGAGTTCACAGGATTAAAAAGCAATGGTTATAACATTTTTAATTAATCATTATTTAATTTTTTTTTTGTTTATTATGTATAGTGCTTTATATTCTCATATAAGTGCATTGTGACTGCACTGAAATATTTATTATGTGTATAATATTTTCTGTATTATGGACAAGTAAAACCAATTGAAAGAACTTACTATAAACTTTAGTTTAAAATTACTTAAGCTTTAAAAAATAAAAGCTGGAAGACCTTAGTAACTAAAACTTATACTGTAAACTTTTAATATAATTCTTAGCTACTTTTGTGCACACGCATTTGTTCAAGTTTTGCTTTCTTATTTAAATGTTAGTTTTTTGACTTAGATTTTTTATAGCTTCTGGTGTTGCTTAAAGGACCTTATAAAAAACAATATGCCAAGAAAAGTGCAATAGAATTTTTTTACAACATAAAAATCCAAAACTGCTAACTTCGCAAAAGAGCAAATTGCACATCCAATTACGTTGCAGTAAGTGCACTGCGACTGTCTTTAATTTAAACTGAAAGTCCGTCTGTCTCTACTGCACGCTTGTGTCTGCCTTTTGTCTTGTCATTTTGTCTGTTTCTCGGGTGTTCTATGTTAATGTCAGTCGTTCAAAAATTTTGACGTTTTATGTCAGCCATTTGCTCTTTCATTTGCAACAAGCTGCACATAAAATTTCACCAGTTGCACAAAATGCTAACCCAGCTAACCCGACCAACCCGACCAACCCGAGTCAACTTTCCTATTGTGCATAGTATTTGCGCCATAAAGGCGGTCTTCCATGCGGTTCAACATCACCAAGAATTGAACGGCTGAAGAAGTGCAATAAAGGTCAGAGCGGGCAGGGAGTTGCATTCATTGCGCTGCCCTGCATGGAAGTATGCTCGAAATTAATATAATAAAATTTGCACACAAAACAAAGTTTTCCAACTGCGTATAATTAAATTGTAGGTCCTTTTTCTGAATATTCATTTTGTACTTTTCACTTTTTTATACTACCATTTTTTTTTTGCGTGTACTCTCCTAAGTGAAAACTTATTACACTTGCTACTTTTGAAAACTATTTAAGTATTTTACTCTTAGCTATTATGTTATTCGAATTTAATGTTTTACAAACCATCGTAGAGATATTTTTTGTTTTTTGTTTCAATATTTCAGTAACTTTCTTCATTTGCTTTTCAAATTCTGGTACTGGTACTTTTGCAATTTACATAAAGCCAAAGGGAGCTTCATTACATTATAAAAATAAAAAAACATTTCTTATTTATTTTTGGTTATTTTGTTAAAAAATAATACATGTTGACCTATAATTAATTTATTCTTAAATTTTATTTTCACTAAATATCGTCTAACTAAATAATATAAAAACTGGAGCTGAAACGTTATTTCCATAAACGAAGCCACTCTTTTGGACTGGTTCCATTATCAATACTAAGCAAACGTTTACCCAAAAAAATATTTTTAACAACCTATTACGATAAATGAAAGTATCGACTTGACACTAAAGTGTTATTGGTTTCAATTTTAAGTGACATTTTGGTAGCCAATAACGCACACTTAAGGGTTAGGAAATCCATGGGGTATTGTAAATTTTTCCCTTAATATCTCAAAAACCATTCATTCAAGAGCTTTCACTTTTAACGATTTTATAAATATTTATAAAACTTGTAAAAAAAATTTGAATTTTTAAAAAGAAATAGCATATAGATTTTTCATCATTCAGTCTTAATATCCTTTTTATAAGCCAATTTTTGATCAGGACTTAAAAACTGTTTATTTAAAATATCCGTCAATATCTGCAGTACAATTATCATTAGGAACTTGATTAGTACACTTGCTTTTAGCTCCATAAATATTCTTTAATGAATTACGACGTCTTTATGTGTGAATAGGAGTAAAAGTTATAATGATCCAAAAAATTCGTTTTTGGAACATTTTGGATCATTTTGGATCATTTTTGCAAAAGATTCCAATTATTCAGAAATTTTTGGTTGATAGAGTTTTTGATTGAATAAATTTTATGTATGAACTTCTGTTTGACACCATGTATTTTAGTGAATTAAGAGTTGGATATTTCTCCATTTCGTTTCGTTTGAAGGTTTTTGAAACTGAGGCAAGGTAAAAGTTTATACGACAGATTTCTAAACCTAACACTTGTAGTCTGAATATTTTATAAGAAGTATGAGACCAATAAATGTTTTTAAAGATGAATGATAAGGAGTAATTGGCATCATCTAAAATAGCTGTTTGTTTAGCTTAAGAATTCAAAAAACCCCTTGTATTAGTGAAATAGTTTTCTTTCGTCGTAATTGACTTTAAAAATTAAAATTATTTTTTTATGTAATAAAAGCATAAAAGGTATAGAATAAAAGGTACTGAACTAAAAGATTTAACAACTGATAGGTTGAGT